CCCCAAAACCCCAAAACCCCAAAACCCCAAAACCCCAAAACCCCTGAGGTATTTAGGTTATATAATATTTATAAAAATGAAGTTATCTAATCTATCGAATGAACTGAAGGTGTCATACCAGACTTTTGACCCCCTTATTCAAGCTATCCTTCTGCTTTTCAGCTTGCTAATGCTGGATTTACTAATTTTATGGCAGGCAAATTTAATAATGAGTTTGGGACAAAGAAAAGCCTTGCTTTCTTTGTGAGACATATATGGGTAATGGCTGTGCTTTTGATACTGTCATTGATCAGTAAGCAATTCAGAATGCCCAATAAGAAGGAGACACACTTTATATGACTAGCTGGAGTGCTTAACTTGTTCTTAAATCTACAGTTGTTCGCTAAGAATACAACATTGTTTACAATCCCTTATCTTATTCTGTGGATTCCCGTTTTCCCTTCTTTTATCTTGATTGCTCTTATCCTACTGAAGCTGGATAAGTGGTCTATAAGGAAAGCAATTGGTGCTACATTTTTATTACTCTCATGTGGTGGTTGTGTAATATATTCCAACATCACTAGCGAAAGGTCATTTTATATGGACTCTTTCATGATTGCACAAATTCTGGTTCCTCCAGTTGGTGCTTTATCCCTCAAACTTGCTATTATCAAAAGAAACGTAGGAATATTTAACTTAGGCTTCTGGGTATCCCTTGTTGCATTTATTTGTGCATTACTCAATTACATACTCATCCATCATTGGAACGCAATGTCTCCTTTCTTCAGTATCTGACACCAGTTGAAGTTCTTCGATATTGCAATGATCTTCTTTGCAAGGATTATCATTGATGTATTTAACACTGCATGATTTGCCCCTGATCCCTCACAGGGTATTTACTTAGCATCCAAGAAACAGTTGATGAAGGCTGCGGTCTTCGTGACTCTTGATGCTGTCTTCTTGGTCATTTTCAATGCTCTCGCATTGAAATATTCTGGATGGATTTATGGATATATCTTACGACCGTAAGAGCCTTTATGAGAAGTTTCAGAGGAAAACTACACCTGTAATGTACAAAACAACGATTGAAGGAGAGTATCAGACTGTACTGTTAAGTAGAATGATTAACTATCCATGCCCAATCCTAATTCTGAGATATCTATAGGATGACTACTCTAGAAGAAACTGAACTAGAAAGTAAGTTTTATCCTTAGGAGTGTAAATTTGAAACTCTATCAAGATTTTCAGATATTTATTCTAGTTATCAGAATTCTGTCAATATCTTCATGGTAATGTCAAGAAAATCTCCCGTTACATTTCTGATACAATAACATTTCTCTAGAAATAAAAGAACATGGGAATACATTGCTAAAATCAGATATAAAGAAAAGTGTACCAAAGAGGAGCAGAAATTTAATTGCTCCGTCTAATGCAGAAAAGGCATCGCTTAAGTAAAGGTTTAAATTGATATTTAGTGAAGCTCTTCCCCTTACGACAACACAGGATGCTAATCCAGACTCTCTCAGGCAGCATGAATAAGTTCCTGCTTCTGATGCCAGACTCTTAACGCCATGTTTAAACTTCTGGAAGTGTAGTTAATTTTATAATTAATTTCGGTTAAATTATATTACGTAGAATTTTCAACAATATCATGATATTTTGGGGTTTTGGGGTTTTGGGGTTTTGGGGTTTTGGGG